GACAATATCATCTAGTTTTAGTAGTAATTTCTGGAGAAGAGAGATTGTTACATTTAACTAGTTATTTATCTCAGGTAAGGGGATTTTTTGTCACCTCTTACAATAAATAAGAGAAAAAATTCAAATAAAAAATTAATATTCTGATACCTGGATTATATAAAGAGGTTTTTGTGTCGTGCAATTTTGATCGAGGTGCAGTTCTAGGTAAGTAATATACATGTAATATATTTTGAGATATGTTTTACGAAGTACAAAGTACTCTAAAAAAGTAGGATATCAAAGTATTCTAAAAAGTAGAATGTCAAAGTATCAGATATTATAATTCGGTAGGATATCAAAGTATTAAAATTTATGGGTCAAGGTTTGGTGAATAATGGAATATGATTAGATATATAATTTGAAAAAAATCGGTAGGACGCCAAAGTAAAATTATTACAGATATATATATATTATAAAATTATGCTTTGGTGAGTTACCAAATAGGGATAACATTTTATAAAAATTGGTAGGACGCCAAAGTAAAATTATTACAGATATATATATATTATAAAATTATGCTTTGGTGGGTTACCAAATAGGGATAACAATTCAGCACTACGTGCCTCATGCTCAGATAATATAATAGGTAACAATTCAGCACTACGTGCCTCATGCTCAGATAATATAATAGGTAACAATTCGGCACTACATGCCTCATCATTGGACGATATTTGAATGAATTATAACAGTTAGCAATTCAGCACTACGTGCCTCATCCTCGATCGATATTTGAGTGCATCATACAAAGCCAGAATACGAATACTATTTCAGCACTACGTGCCTCAAACCTGGCTCTCATCAAGGAATTAATCAGAAAGCTAAGGCACTACGTGCCAAGTTCAGGCATAGCCCTCACGTCGGGTCCATAAATAACAATATATAATTGGATGCATCGTCAGATATATTTTTTTATCCATGTGTCATAAAATATATATCACGACACTGACAACGGTGTCGCATTTCTATCGTCAAAAATGTGTCATAAAATATATATCACGACACTGACGACGGTGTCACATTTTTATCATCAAAAATGTGTCATAAAATATATATCACGACACTGACGATGGTGTCGCATTTATATCATCAAAAATGTGTCATAAAATATATATCACGACACTGACGACAGTGTCGCATTTCTATCGTCATAACACTGACGATGGTGTCACATTTCTATCATCACGACACATACCTGAGTGGGAATAACCTAGACTAAGTGGAAATAATATAATTATGTTATTTTCACTTGCTGTTTATTCCAAAAAACTGTAATTGGAGAAGTTTGTTCACCAGCGGTAACAGTAGAATCAAAATCAATTCTTAGAATCGATTAATTTGAAAATTTAAGAATCGATTTTACAAAATTGATTAATAACGATAACAATAATGCATAAATCATGTTCATGATTGAAAATCATGATTTTCACATGTGAAAAATATATAAATGATATAGCGCACGTATTTTATCTTTAACAAAAATATTAAGATTGATAATTACCATGCCAATATAAAGTTTAATAACTTTAATAGTGATACTAATACCAAAAGTAACTGATATTGATCAAAATTTCAGTCTGATGATAATACTTCAATTGCTTTTATACTACGTAATATCTCTACGAATTCAATTAATCAAAGCATAATTTCAACTAATCAAATTATAACTTCAACTAATTAAAGTACAACTTCAACTATTCCAACGAAAAGAGAAAAAAAATTAACATGTAATGAAAAACAAACCAAAAATCAGTTATGACATCACCGTTATCGTCATTATTGCTGTCATCATCGTCATATATACTTTGTGCTCAAAAATTGATTTTGGGTTGAAAATTAATTCCTATCCAATTCTTTTACAAATTGCACGCAAATATTGACAATTCTCGCTGTATCAGTTCCACCTGAATGTCTAATTTCATGAACGAAATTGATTAAATATGTAGTGATAGAACAGATCTACTTGAAAATCGATCGATTAATCAAATTTATTTAAAATGATTAATCGATTTTATTAATCAATTTTATAATTGATTCTGGGTTGAGAATCGATTCCTATTCTTAATCGATGCCCTATGGCAAAAATCATGTGCTGGCTAATTCTAAAAATATATACTCATCATCCAATCAGATGGATGGTCTGATTTAAAAATCATGTGCTGGAAGATTCCTTGTGATACCATTCAAATCAGAATATGTGAATGCACGCCATTTAAGGTATTTGTAAACGTCGCAACCATTTATATCATATTATATATTAATGAATAATAGTTCAGTTAATTGTTCTCTCATGTTTTCCTGTTAGATTTTTATTCTGTATATTCAGTTTGATTAAATTTTCTCTGATCTAATCACCCATCTATATGCCTGGTGCATATAATGTAGTTTCGCTTCCCAATTCCAAATTTCATTCTCTGATCAGAGAGCAAAATTATAGGAAATATTTCTAGAAATGAAATTGCATTTCATTGGAAAAGCGTTAGGATTCTTAATTTAATAAAACCATGCAACAATTTTTTTGTCAACGCTTTGGGATTTAGCCAGGTATTTGGGATTTTACACTTAATTTAACATTTAACCAAATGTTGGGATTTGACAGGCAATTTGGGATTTGTCGGCATATTGGGATTTTGCCAAAAATGTTAAACCGTATCCCAAATTGCCATAAGTGTTAATTTTCCATATAAGATTTGGGTCCCATTCCTAGTGCTGCCTATATACACTTCCAGAAATTGATGTCACATATTCAAACCCTGATTTTAGTTTGTTCGTAATAGGGATTGATATTATTTTAAAAGGATTTGTTTTTCTTCAGAATTAAATTCAAGTAATTTCATCCTATATACATGTATTTTTTTTATAGCAACCTCATTGCTTTCCAATCTCTAACTCTAAGTAATAATAGTGTTAATCCAGTTTTTTATCTTTGTGCGTATTAAAAGCTTTTGTATTTCATTAACTTTGTGCTTTTATAAGTCAAAAACATTAAGTAGAAAATATTTTACAAGCATGAATACAAAGTAATACTAATTTGTTTTGGTTGCTGTATTTAGTTTTTAAGTTCGTTTTGTCTTGCTGCTGGGATATATATTCGTTATCTCACAATTTAGACTATACAAAGGTGACACACAAAGACCCTGCATTGTTGCTTTTCTTCACCAAAGCAAAATCTGTTTCCTGTGTTTACTATGCGTCACCGATGATTCTGAAAGCAAGTCAATTCCACAGTCACAAGATCCTTTGGTTCGACAGTTAAAGAAACTTTTTGATACACTCAAGCTCTTTCTGAGAGATTATGTATCGTGAGAGAAATAAACAAATGGCATATCGATCACTATAACAACACATACAAATATCACCATCACTATTCATATAATATAAATATTTATTGTATACATGTACACATTCAATTTTAATAACAGTTAATATTAATTTGGTGTCAATTTAACCCTAACTCCAAGACAAGTATTAGTGAAAATATTTCAATAGTTATTGCTACGACTCATTCAGGGTATGTTCGCAATCCTATACCAAAATAGAGATAAGTAGTTGAATTTTTAGTTTTCAGGAATCTTTCTGGTCCAAATTCGTTGGGATTGAAATGGATTGAATATTGATACCAAATCTGGTGCTTGGTTTCCATTTGTATTTGGCAATTGTTTCTTCTTGGGTATTTACTCTTTCGATCATAATTACGAGGGCTTACGCGCAAAGAGCTATCTAAGTTAAACAAAAATTTGTGAATAAACTTCAAGCTTATGAATAAAACATAATGTATAATTTTACCTTCCTCAATATATTTAAATTGTGCTAGTACTTAGTTTTTGAACCTGCCAATCTCGAATTTCTTTTTCGACTTGCTCTTTAACTCTGGGACTTCGTTCAATATAATCCGAAAGCACTAGCTGTCTGGAATTTTAATTAAGTTCAAAAGAATCATTAATTCAAATCAATTAAATGTTATAACCTTTAATTGTAACAACTGTTACATGTAATAACTTCAATATTAACCGATCACATATCCAGAATCTTAGCCCTAATTACCTCTGAGACCACTCCCATAATCGACCAGGAGTAGCAGCAATTATATTCGAATGTCTATCCATTAGTCGTCGCTGAACTGCCATATTGCTGACAAGTGTTATGATCTAATTCATATTAATTCACTAACCTTGATGTCACCAAACTTTTTAATGCTCAATATATATCGCCAAATCTCGAGTCGGAGTACACAATTATTAATGCCACAAGTTCGTTTGTGCGTTATCATCAACATATCTCAACTTTTCACCGATAGGTTTATTTCCTCATTCATTAAATACTGTAGAATAGGAAGTCCAAATGCAAGTATTTTCCCTGATCCAGTTTCCGCCGCCCCAATTATCACGTCCAAATAATCCATGGGCAAAGTTTTCTTTTGAATAGGCGTGGGCCCGGAGAATTGAAGTGATTTTAAAGCGAGTATTATGTTTGAGCAGAGTTAAAAATCAATCCATGCTGATGCGTTAAAATCTATTCAGTATAAGAATGGTGTTAAATACATAAACAAATAGAATGTAGGATCAATAAATATCTATTATTATCACATATATACCGAGATTATAATCTTTACAAGAGCATCCTTTTTATTTTGTTTGACGACAGTATCTATTTTTCTCCTTGGACTCATGACTTATACTATTCTGACTTTTTCTTTCACTTTCAATTTCGCTCCCACATCTTTTATTTCATCAAAAGTATCAATAGTCTCCCAAATGTCAATATATAATCGATATCCATAATTCATCGTCAACTTATCGTTATGACATCATATTTTCTCATCAAATATATCCGAATCATAAACTTCGTGTCTCACCAATTGATAATGTTTCTTCAGGATTTGCCGCACAAGCTTTTATAGTTGCTCCTTTTTACTTTCTAAACGACAAATATTTCACAACAAAATCAATAATCAATTGTCTTTGTTTACAAAGACATCAATTAATTAGTTCCTCAGCAGCTGTTCTGTTTCTGAAATAGGATCCCAACATTTTTCAATGATAAATTTGCACCATCTGGGAAAATTGGCTGTATCTTAGGTCGTATTCCTTTATAGATATCACATACAAGATTCACCCGTTACAATTCATGCCCAATTATTCCAAAACTGTAAATATCTGCTGCTTTATTGTGTGGCTTCCCATTTAGCACATCTGGATTCATGTAAGAAAGAACTCTGTAAGTTTGTTGATTCAATCGGTCCAGTAAACATTCCCAGCTAGTGATACAGGCCAACCTCAGTCCAAATGGTCGGACTGGTGGACGGGCTGAGTCAGCCACGTCGATATGATTAGGATTAAGTATAGGATTTTGTAAAAACCAGTCAAATAATACTATAGTTTCAAAAACAAGTGTCTCATTAATTTCTTTGCAAAAAGCATAACGATAAGAATACTTTCAAATTTGAGTGATTTGCATTGTTCTTCACATTATTAGTTCCTAAATCACGTAAATTTATCATTTTGTAAAAATCAAACTCTTGTTCAATCCCATGAATTAATCAACCTATTAACTAAGAATAATTTTTTAGATATAATTTTTTCGACAATTAGTATTCTGGGTCTCTTACATTCTAGAAGCTCAAAAATTGATTAGTACTCACCAGGTACTTTGTGAAGAGGAGAATATATTATATGGGAATACTTAACATGAAAGTCGTTCAGTGTCTGACAAAAGTATTCACACACTGATAATTTTTGATTGATCATGAATTTTATTGTATAGTACATATATTACAAATATTAATTAATAGATTTTATATCGAATATTGCATGTTCATAAACTTTCATACTCCAAATATAATAAATCAGTCATTTTAGGATATAATATCTCAACATCCAGTGATCTGATTTGATTAAAAATATTACCATTTGATTTGTCTAATCTAGACATACTAATCAATTTTTCATTAGAAATTAATTGCCAAAAAATGAATTGAATGTGATGCATGATGTATATATCTCAATCTTCAGTAATCCTATTTGAACAAAAATAATACCATTTGATTTGTCTAGTCAAAATGAATTGAATGGTATTATTTTTATTTGACTCAAATTATGGAAATCGAGATATCACATTCTAAATTGATTAATTCATTTTTGTTATATCAAAAAAATGAATCTGCTACTTTAAGATGCAATATTTTGATATCTAGTTATCTCTGATTTGAACAAAAATACTACTATTTGATTCATCTAATCGAGGTGAATCGAATAGTAGTATTTTTGTTCAAATCAGATCACTGGATGTCAAGAATTAGATTATGGAATATTGGATGTGTGTTATGAAATGACTGATTATGAAAGTCTATGAACATACAATACCTGATATAGAATTTCTATCAATCAATAAAAAGATATCAATGATCAGCATTTGTGATATACTATATGCATATAAAATTTCAGGGACCTACAAATAATCTATCAAAAATTATCAGTGCGGAAATACTTTTGTAATTTTGACCCAGTTTTCTAAATCAACTAATAATAATACATTAATTTTTGGGCAAAACAAATCTGGCACAAGAAAATTAAAAAGATGAATACTGTGAAAAATAGGAAAACGAATGGGTAAACCTGACTCGAAGCACTAATAAAAAATGTTGGAAAGATAATTATATATAACTTTACTCCAGCTCCAAACCCTAACTCTAACAATAAAATTAACCTTTAATATCCTCAACCAATCAGAAACCTGGGAGAAAATTAGTAAATACATACTGTAGGGGTGTGTAGTAAATATATCGATTGTCAAAAAAACAATAACTGCAATGAATGTTTCAAATATCACAAACGAATTTATAAAGCTGAATGTTCTACGAAAATAAAGAAATTGAGAATCTAATAAATAAATGCAATAAATTTAGTAAATATTTTGAATGGATCCCTTTTGAAAGATTTATCGATGCTGAATATTTTGTAAAAGGTAATTTTGGAACAATTCATAAAGCAACTTGGTTGGACGGCCAATAGACCAGTGGGATCATAAAGAAAATAAATTTAAACGATATGGAAAATGCGAAATTGTATTGAAATCATTACACAATTCAAAGAAAATTACATCTGAGTTTATAAACGAGGCAAGAATAACCAATTTAAAGTGTATGCATGAGATGCTTTTTGTTTCTAATACAATTAAGTTTTTAAACCCAGATTCTGACTGCTTTGAAGTGCACTGTGTGATTAAAAACCCAGATACAAATGAATCCTTGATAGTAATGACTTATGCGAAAGATGGCGATCTTCGCAAATATACATGTATTAATTCCTGCTATCGCTATGAGGCATTAATTTTGGTAGAAAAATTAGAAGAATTGATTGATATTATCGCAAGTTTGCGTCGAATTCACCATAAGCGATTTGCACATCGTGACCTTCACTCTGGAAACATATTATTACATAGAATTGCTCAGATTGCTGATTTTGGACTTAATCGAGAAATTTACGGAGTACTCCCTTATATTAGTCCAGAGGTACTAAATGGAAAGCTGCAGATATTTAATAGTTTTGGGATGATTCTGTACGAGATTGTCACCGGTGAACGTCCATTTGGTGAACGAAGTCATGATATAAGTCTTGTAATTAGCATTCATAAAGCAGAACGATCTAAGATACCAGAAACTATTCCCGGATGGTGCAAATTTATTATTGAAAAATGTTGGGGTCATATTCCAGAAAACAGACCAACTGCTGAGGAACTTTACGACTTCATCTACTCTTTTCACGATAACAATTCAGTTTTGTGAAAACTGAATGCTATGCATTTTCAGTACTACAGCTCCTTAGAATATCCAAAAACACATGAAGAAATTAAAGAGTGTCTTAAATTAGAAACGCAAAAGTGGAAAGAACTTGATGAGGAGATGAAATTGCAAAAATTTATTCATACAAATATAAACAAAAAACAAAAACACCACCCAAATGCTGTTTATACCAGTCGAATCTTTACTATAAAATCAATTTCTATTCCAAATGATACTGATATTGGTACGGTACTTTCTATTTTGAAATATAAATCATATAAATCATATTGATTACAACATTTATTTTGGATATTAAGGTTCTACAAGTATCAGTTTGTTTGTTCCAAACGAAGGTAAAATTGCATTTAATACTATTTTTTCATCAATTTCTTTAATTCGTTATTATTTTTCTTTGGTGTGCAAAAAAATTTTGATTTTAGTATTCCACATGAGTCGAAGAAAAAGAAAGGATTTTAATAGCAGCAGCATTGTAAAGATCTACAAAATCAAAAGGCTGATATCTTTGCAAAAAAAACCACATATTCATGACGAATCGTTTTCATCAAAGTAAACAACATAAAAAGAGAAAATGATGACTACTTTAGTTTGCACTTTATAAATTAAGTTGACAATAATAATCAGTATATCTTTTTAATCTAAATAAGATTTTAAAGCAGTATTGAAACATATATTTATTGTTATATTTATTTATTTATATATACTCTTATTGAATTTCAAATGTAATTCAAGTCACTTTTCATAAATCTTGAGCAAGATCAAGAAACCAAATATTGATTTGTATAAAATTAAATTTTTGATTATTACTTTTGTCTTTAAATTTGAAAAAGATAGTTAAAGTATTTTTGGATAAGTATATTGATTTGCTATAGCATTATTTTTAATATAGTTGTGTACTGCAACTTTAAATAAGTGATATTGATTTGTATAATTGTACATATAACTTTAAATAAGTGATATTTTCTTTAGTTATTTATTTTCTTTGATATTGAAAGCACTAGAATATATGACTACAAGTATAGAAATATCAATACCTTTTTATTTAGTTAGTAACCTCTATTAGTTAATCACCTCTTTGAACACTCTCCCAACCTCTCTTTTTATTTTTGATAGAATTGTTTAACAATTTCTGTCAAAATTGGCACAGACTTAGATATTTATTTTTGCACTGACTAATCTTATTAGTTTATTTCTCTCTTCCAACTTGTATGACTCTCTTACTGATAGTGTAAAAACTCTTTATTTAAAATAATCATAACAATATGATTTTAATTACTATTGATTCAATCTTATAAGATATTATTAGTAAATTTCATTATTCATCAAACTATAATATAACAGCATCTTCAAAATATTTACAGACAACTTAAATTTTTCAATTTTTGATAATTTTATTGGCTAGTGCTATTACTTCAAAATCTCAGAGTCATTCTACAGGATCTTGATCTTCACCTTTGTATTTTTGAATTTAAATAATCATCTTCTCATTATTTAGTAAAGTAACTAATTCACTGATTGCATCAATAACTACTTGATTAATCATTGTGATTATTTCAAAATAGAGTACTAAGAAATTGGAATATGTGTTGAATTTAGATATAAAA